GTAACACTCCCTCTGTGTGTGTGTGTGTGTGTGTGTGTGTATATATGTGTGTGTGTGTGTGTATATGTGTGTGTGTGTGTGTGTGTCTGCATCTCTCTTTTCCTCACATTTCTTCATCCCCCTGCAGTCTAGCTGTTTCTGTTTCGTTTCGTCCTGTTCTCCTTCACCTTCTCCTCATTGATTTCCCTTTCTTCCTCACACTTTTTTTTCATAATATTTATTTTTCATTCCCTTCCTTCTTACTCCTTGCCTTATCCCTTTCTTCCTCCTCTTTTTCCTCCTCCTTTTCTCTCTTTCCGTTCCCACTTTATTCCTTTTTTTGAGAGAGAAAGAAATCGGAAGCAATTAGAGAGTAGACATTTTTGGCAACAATATTATTGGTGAGCGCTGCAAAAAAGTGTGTGTAGCGTTCCTCTCCCGTTAATTAAAATGGCTTTCTGATGGCCACCACCAAGCCCTGCACTGACCACACACACACACACACACACACACACACACACACACACACACACACACACACACACACACACACACACACACACACACACACACACACACACACACACACACACACACACACACACACACACACACACACACACACACACACACACACACACACACACACACACAGTATGATTCTGCCAGCAAGTGTATTAACTTATTACAGAGAGAGGGATGATTGGTATTTATGCACAAGCAACATTTTTTAGGCAATATCTCAAAATGGCTGCTTGATGACACGAGGCCGTTTTAAACATTTAGGTGAAGTGACCCTTTAAGCATTAAGACTCTGTCCTTGTAAAAATAAAAGTATGTGATCTCTGGGAGTTAGGATTAGTGAGATCCGAGCCTCTGTCCCCTGGAGTCCAGTTTGGCCCTTAGGATCCATCCTGATTGAGACACAGGATTGTTCCTTCATGCTTTAACTGTTTAAATAAATGTCCGTGGCACTTTTGAACCACATTGTACATTGAAGCTTTAGTGATATCACTATGTAACACCCACGCTTCTATTGGCTTGCGCTCCAACATATTGTATGTGATAGGCTAAGGGGCGGGACATCTCTAAGTAGAGACACTACATACTGATATACACCTGAACATCAGCAGGAGAGGACTCTTTAAAGTAGAGACACTACATACTGATATACACCTGAACACCAGCAGGAGAGGACTCTTTAAAGTAGAGACACTACATACTGATATACACCTGGACATCAGCAGGAGAGGACTCTTTAAAGTAGAGACACTACATACTGATATACACCTGAACATCAGCAGGAGAGGACTCTTTAAAGTAGAGACACTACATACTGATATACACCTGAACATCAGCAGGAGAGGACTCTTTAAAGTAGAGACACTACATACTGATATACACCTGAACATCAGCAGGAGAGGACTCTTTAAAGTAGAGACACTACATACTGATATACACCTGAACATCAGCAGGAGAGGACTCTTTAAAGTAGAGACACTAAATACTGATATACACCTGAACATCAGCAGGAGAGGACTCTTTAAAGTAGAGACACTACATACTGATATACACCTGAACACCAGCAGGAGAGGACTCTTTAAAGTAGAGACACTACATACTGATATACACCTGGACATCAGCAGGAGAGGACTCTTTAAAGTAGAGACACTACATACTGATATACACCTGAACATCAGCAGGAGAGGACTCTTTAAAGTAGAGACACTACATACTGATATACACTTGAACATCAGCAGGAGAGGACTCTTTAAAGTAGAGACACTACATACTGATATACACCTGAACATCAGCAGGAGAGGACTCTTTAAAGTAGAGACACTACATACTGATATACACCTGAACATCAGCAGGAGAGGACTCTTTAAAGTAGAGACACTACATACTGATATACACCTGCACATCAGCAGGAGAGGACTCTTTAAAGTAGAGACACTACATACTGATATACACCTGAACATCAGCAGGAGAGGACTCTTTAAAGTAGAGACACTACATACTGATATACACCTGAACATCATCAGGAGAGGACTCTTTAAAGTAGAGACACTACATACTGATATACACCTGAACATCAGCAGGAGAGGACTCTTTAAAGTAGAGACACTAAATACTGATATACACCTGAACATCAGCAGGAGAGGACTCTTTAAAGTAGAGACACTACATACTGATATACACCTGAACACCAGCAGGAGAGGACTCTTTAAAGTAGAGACACTACATACTGATATACACCTGGACATCAGCAGGAGAGGACTCTTTAAAGTAGAGACACTACATACTGATATACACCTGAACATCAGCAGGAGAGGACTCTTTAAAGTAGAGACACTACATACTGATATACACTTGAACATCAGCAGGAGAGGACTCTTTAAAGTAGAGACACTACATACTGATATACACCTGAACATCAGCAGGAGAGGACTCTTTAAAGTAGAGACACTACATACTGATATACACCTGAACATCAGCAGGAGAGGACTCTTTAAAGTAG